TATATTAGTATATAAAAAATTATATTATTAATTAGTTTAATTATTATAAATTACAATAGTATAAGATATAATTAATTATAATAGAAAAAATTTATATTAGTTATTACATTATAGATTAGAATTGATTATCTTATAAAATAAAATTTATTGATATTATGTTAGAAATTATTGTTTAGAATTGATTATCTTATAAAATAAAATGTATTAATAATATGTTAGAAATCATTTTGTTATAGATTATGATGGGTCTACTTCTAAATCTGAATAGAACCGGTGGATTTGAGCTCAGATCTGCTTGGACCGCCTCTGAATCGTTGCTAGACCATGTGAATACCTGCAAAAACTCAACGCCGGAGGTATTTCCGGCGTAGAGCCTCCGACGCTCAAGTCAGTATCAGAGAGATGAAGGGATGCTGCGCAGCAGCTATGAGGAGAGTGTGGAATCAATAAGAGTTGGGGTTTGGGTTTCCTCATCTCCTTTATATAGGAGTAAATACTTACTTGAAGTACCCGAAATGCCCACGTCGGTGGACCTAAAAGGTCCAAAATGCCCTGGTCGGTTCGTCTCCTCTTCCTGCCGAGTCACCACAATATTCTCCTTTATCCCTTGAAAGATGTAGAGCTTCAAGTGTGATGAGTCGTCATCACATCTTTGGTCTTCGAGGCGTACTGAGTCGGCCTCGAAAGCTAGGAGGTCGACTTATGATCATATGAGGATTCGGAGGCTACGGTTGGTTAGTTCTCTCGAGTGGAAGTTGTCTTAAGAGAGTCGACTTAGTGAAGTCGACTGCTAGGAGTCGACTCAGGGTATCTGAATGCTCGGAGATTACGCTCTTATTGTTCTTATACAAGTGTCGATTATTGAAAGTCGACATACTGAGGTCGACCTGAGAGAGTCGACTGGCCAGACTTTCGCCTCCTCACGGCCGTTCTACGTTAGAGTCGACTTTGCGGAAGTCGATTTGAGTATGTCGATGGGAACATATTGCCATGTGGACGGTTTGTGTGGTTACCCGGTCGAGTTAGGGGCTTTAGAACCGGTACATGATAATATGGCTATATCAACCCTAATACAAGACCATATCAATTTCAGCCTACAGGTAATTTTCCCTTGCATTCTTGTGCGAGCGCGGTGTGTTTATCGTCACCATCGGCATCACCAATCACCACAAAGCTGGGGGCGTGATCTCGATTGTTGGGTTTATCAAAGCCTGGAGCTCGTTAGCCAAGCTCGGCCATGGAGAAAACATAAAGGTAAGAGAAAATGAAAACCTTCCACCTCCTCGAGTCTATGAGGACGGTAATTTTTTCTTTGTCATAATTGCGTACAACCTACGAGAGCTGCTGGCACAACATTCGATTTTCTTGCAAAACCTTTGAACATAAATCTCTCAAATATCGCCCAAGTTTTTGTCCAAGAAAATGCCGATGAAGGTTCTTGATGCGATTGTGGAGAATTTTTAAGGCGTGTTTGAGGAATTTAAGAGTGAAGCCCCAAATAACAAGGCGAATCTCATCCTTTTCTTGGCTGATAAAGATCCTTCGACCAATCTCAGTAGGTGCCCTGGTACGCATTTACTCCTCATTAAGTGTTTTTTTATGTATGTTCTGCAAGTGGGTCTATTTGATTTAGTATGATAATTTTTAGTTACTAGACAGTGTGAATTTGGGTGAGGTCCTTCTGAAAGATTGAGGTGCAAGAACGGAATTTTTTTAGTGATGAGATTTGGTAGTTTTATGTTCTGTTGATTTCTGTCGTTCTCTAGCATTGAGAGTTATCAGTCCATTATGTGGCACTATTGTGTTTTCTCGTTATCTAGTTTATTTGATCATTGATATGATAATAAGTCAAAATTTAACAAGAACTTTGTTTATTTCGTGTTCTAATCTTGTAAGTTCATTTGTTGTGGCCTGTGGGTGTGACTATGAAGACTAAAATCTGATATTATATAGTTTATGGATACCACTTAGCTTTTTTTACTTTTTAGTTTGTGAGATAGACATTAAAGAATCAATCTTTATATCTATTTTTCACCAGGGCTTGATCTCATTTTGTATTGGTGCTTGTACACACTTCATAGCAGCTAAAATTTCAAATTTTGTTAATCAATTTGAGTTTATATGATCTGTTCGGATGAAGTATCACATTATGATTGTTATTCCTATTTACTCATCGTAACGCCCCACTTTTATTTGCCAAAAATCAGAATAAATTTTTTAAATTTATTTCAAAACACCTGAGACGCTATTCACATTCAAAACGAACTTCCATGCTTAGCCAAATTCTCGACACTCATTCAAACATCAAACTCAATCATCAATATTATTACCAACTCCCAAAACGGGTTTTCCAAAATTCATAAATCACCCAAACCGGGTTTCAATAATATCATAAATTCTAAGGAGCATCTCCTTAACATTATTCAAGTCATAAAATCCAATATTCATAAATGCAATAACACTCCAAGTTCATAGTCATAAAATCCAGAATTCATAAATGCGGAAGCTTAACAAATAATAAGACCGGTCATATAGACCGACCACCACTCGCTCCACTCCGCCATCGTGCCTGCCTCGCTTAACATGAAACGTTAATTTCAGGTGGGGATGAGCACAGTAGGAAAAAGTAGTGCTCACCATTATGTAGTAAACATTAATCAAACAAATCAACAGTATGATCTCAGCATGAATAAGAATTAAATTAATATCCCACTCTCCTGTCATCATAATATCGTCATAAGATCGTCATAAAATGAAGACTCATGTACACACCTACGCATAGACTACTGTGGGATAAAATACCGAATGTCCTTCGGGCTTCTATCGGTGCCCAAGCCAGTAGGAGTAAATTCTCAAAGGAGATTACCCAACGGGTACGTTCTATAGCTACGGGAATAACCATTCTACGGCCGGTACAACTTACATCGAAGGCTACATGGTTCACATGCATACTCTGATCATACCAAAAATAATTAACATTCATATATAACATTTACAACATAGCCAATTTTAGAATAACAACCCACCTGGATTTCTGGATTGAAATAACTTGACAAGCAAAGGGCATAGGTCGAGGCTGGACTCCTCAATTACCTACATCCGTTGGGATCTGTCTTAGAATCTTATCAAGGCTTATCGTACTCTCGCTAGTCTTATACATATATATAAGCTTTGAAACTAGCTTGCTTGGCATCGCCTAGCTCGCATATTTTGAAAACATTTTTATGTTTAAGTCTTTTCGGTTGGTGGATATCTTGGCTTGCTTAACTTTTAACTCTAAGGACATTTAAGGATCAAAAATATTATATGGATCAAGAAATAAATCACTTAGGTCATATAATCGAGCATTTTGATAGTGCGTGCCATTTTCGGAATGAAACTAATGATTTTTGCAAAACATGATATGCGCAGCGATTTTCAAATGAACACATCTAGTAGCACATAATTCGAAACAACATGAAACTAGTGGCATGTGATTCCTAAGACATAAATCTACAACTCTCAAGAACAACTTAAAATCGAACGAGGTTATTATCTACAAGATAAATCGGCAAAAATTCACATAAGGGTGTAGTAAAAAACATTCAAATAGGGTGGCAGCATTTTGAGGATAACTCGAGTTATAGTCATGATAAAAATACGAATCCAGTACTCATAGAAAGATAACAAATAAATCTACAATTCTTATGTAGATGATGTTAGCAAATT